TCTTATATTTAAATAGCCTTCCATATATTTTAGCTAGTCTGTTGGACATGATGTTTCTGAGGACTTGACCATGGGACACTTGGACAGAGACCTGAATTGTTGGGGGAGCAGCCATCTTAGTCTCTGTAGAGGAGGTGCACTTGGGGTGTCACAGGAGAGGCAAGAGCCCTGGGACAGAACCGGGCAGTGTCAGAGGCCCATGAAAGTAGACAAGTGAGCTGGGCTGAGAGTGGGGGATGGGGGGCTGAGGCCCAGGTGGTGAGAGGGGCCCTGGCACAAGGGGCTTGTAGAAGTGGTGAAGGACTGGGATTTCATTCTGCCTGAGAGGAGAAGACACTGGAGTGTTACATGCAATGTGATGGCGAGGATGTGTTCTGATTCACAGTTTAAAAGATCACATTGTCTGTTATGTGGGCAATGGACAGCAGGGCATGAGAGTCAGCAGGGAGCCCACCTCTAAAGTGCACATGTTAACTACTGTAGAGAGGATGGTTCTAAGGTGGAAGCAGTAGAGGTGTGAGAAGTGACTGGATTCAGTGCTGATACATTTTAAAGATGGTGTTAGCAGTTACTCGATGGAGAACCACATATTTATTTTCCTGCCTTAATTCTGTAGCTGATTTGAGGTGTCTTACTGCCATAAACCCAATGTAGTCTACGTGAATTATTTAAAAATCAATGCCAACAAAAATAGAAATTTTAAACTGTTAAGACTGGGGTAAAGCTAGAACATTATTACTAGGCAAGCTGGAACATCTGAAACATTTGCTGAAATGGAAAGTTGATTGTTTCCCTAGCTATGGATTTCATTGGCTCGTAATTTCTTATATAAAAGAGATTGCATAAAAGAGCCACCGGGTGGGGCAATAGAGCAGGATCAGTCCCTTGCTACCTGCTTCCAGTTCTACACACAGAGTCAAAGCAAATTAATTCCAAGATGTTCAAAGATTAAATCAACATCTACAAAGTCATTGAGTAAATGTAAAAATCTCAGGAATTCAAGGAGATTATGCATTTTCCCCCCTAGAAATGATCTCCTTGCGTGCTGCTGAAGTGATAGGGTCCTTTTGGGGGGCCCCAAGATGTAGGAGCTATTGGGCTACAGCCCTAAATAGAGTTGTTGAGGAGAGTGCAGACCTACTGGCAGGAAGAATCAGGCTTTGTTTTTGTGTTTTATCAGGAGGAACCTGGTAAACCAGTCAGAGTGGAGGATTTGAAGCCTACCTTCCAAAGGAAAAAATTTACAATCTCCCCTCAATTTAAGCTCATCAGAAATCACCAAGGAGCCACCTGTTCTCTTCCTCCCAGAGCCGCGTGGTTCCCCTCCAATGCCAACAGGAAGGGGAGCGCGGATGAGTGTGGAGGTTTTTGGTTCCCACTTCAGTGTTTTCTTCCTCTCAGGTTATTAATGTGAGTTTCTTTGCCTCCTCGCCACCACCCCAACCCTCACTGGAGCACTTGGCCCGGAAGTTTCTGGGGGCCTTGGACCTGAAGGTGCAGTTTCTCTGTGTCCTCTCTTTGAGCTGTTGCCAACCCGAGAGCCACAGTGAACATCACCCACATGGGCTGGATGCTCTTACGGAGACACTGTCATTGCCCAGCATTCTTGAAGCTTTTTCAAATCAGAAAGTCAGTATCGTTCCTCAGACTTGCTCTGAAAGACTAACTTTTCTCAAGGACAAATCCAGGCTCTAGGAACAAGATTTACTCCACCCTTTTCCTGCCTGGAGAACGCTAGGACAATATGGTTGTCGAAAGTGGTTTGAGTGTAACTGTGCCAGGATCCCGTGTGTCCCCACTCAATCTGCAATTCTTTTTATTGTAGCCCGCACCTCTTACTCTTGTTTGTTTACATATGTCTACTCTACTAAAAACAACCCTTTTTCAAAAAGACTTTGAAAGATTCGAGGCTTTGAAAATGTGAAGGATTATTTCAAAATACAGTTTCTAGTGTTGGATTTTAGTTAACATTTTGGTTTTTAAACATCTGTAGCTTATTGACTTTGGTTCTTAACATCATAATATTTTTCAGCACAAATATTATCTCCCTGACCTACTCCCATACAAATCCAAATTTATACTAAAGGAAAATTCCAACATTTCAGACAAACTGTAAGTCATCAAGTTATCTCACTCCCTGGAGACACCAGTGTCAAAACTTCGGTGAGAAATCTTCAAGGTTTTCCTCTATTTAAAATGTATTTTGTAAGTGGTATTAGTGGCATTATAATTCAGCATGTTCTTTAGCTTTTACAAAAGCTTAAACGTGTCTTGGGCACATCTTTTCATAGCAACACATTAAAATCTATCTTATTACTTATATTGGCTGCATGGAATTATGTCACAAGGCTTTTCTTTGGGGACAGTAGGAATGTTCTATATCTTTATTCTGGTAATGGTGACGTGGGCGTGTAAGTTGCCAAAACTCAACCAGCTGTGCATTTCAAATAGATGCATTATGTTGTATGTAAATTATGTCCCTTCAAAGTTGGTTTTATTTATTTATTTAATTTTATATTTTAAATGAAAGAAGTTTTTTCTTTTTTTGGAGGGGGTAGGTAATCAGGTTTATTTATTTATTTAATTAAAAAAATTTGGAAGTACTAGGGATTGAACCCAGGACCTCGTGCAAGCTAAGCACACACTCTACCACTGAGCCATACATTCCCCACCACAGCTGGTTTTAAAAATACCATCCTCTTTGTAATTTATACTTAGGTAAACAAAAGAAACAAACAAAACACTTTGTTCTTGTTTCTAAGAGCTACACCCTGCACATTTGAAGTTAAAGGGTCCTGATGTTTGCAACTTTCTTTCAAGTGGTCCCCCAATAACAATAATAGCTGTTTACATATTCAGACAGAACTCAAACACCTATAACAAAACGAATACACGACAGAATAAAATAAATAAAGAATAAAAATGAAAGTCAGAAATCATAAAATTATATCGTTAAAATTTTATTTCCCCGGTAGCTTTTCTCTCTCTTTTTCTTCTCTCTTCCTTTCTTCAGCCTTTTCCCCTTCGCTCCCTCCTTTTCCCACTCTCTGCTTTACAGCTTATCCCCTGCATATTCGAACCCACGAACATACCTGACTCACCTGGGACAGGTCAGGTACCCACCAGGAAGTCAGTGCTCACGGGGCTATTTGCTTGATGGGGGAGGGGCGGCCATGGCTAGATCCAGGAGAGCACCCTAAATCTGCAGTCCTAGACCATCAGGGCCTCTCCCACATCCCAGTAGTTGGCTTTCTCTTATTGCAATCACCTCCAAATGTGGTGGAACAAACCTAGCATATTAGTATTAAGTCTTTTTTTTTTTTTTGAAGGGTGGGTGGTGCGGTGACTTGAATGAGACAGTTAGATGGAGCTGCCACAGCTAGCAAGTCTTTGAAGGAGGACTGACACAGAGGAAAGGGTTTGGGTCCAGCTTTCAGAAGAGCTGGGTTCCATCTACCTCTATACTTTCACTACCCTTGTGAATTTCAGCAATGAAAAGAATCTCTGAGATGGACAGGACCCAATCCCTGAACTGCCAAATAAATTGTGATGGTGAAAGTAATTAATTAATAAAAATAATATGAAATCTAAGAAATTGTTAAAGCTTTCTGAGGCCTGACATTTTCACTCACAGGAAAAGTGTAGAATAAGGAGCTTAGTGGAATGGTTAGTATTGAGAGGCAGAGTACAACTTTGAAAAAAGCATTTATCTACAGGGAGACAAAGATGAAATGAACATAGTTCCTGATCCTAAAGTGACTTGTTAGCTTATGGGAGGAGTGTAAGATGGTCAGATAGGGTTCAAGGCAGGGCAGACTTGGTACCATCAAGGAGGTTTCAACCAGGGTTAGACCAGTGGTTCTAAAACTTGCCTACACATTGGAATCACTGAGGGGGCTTTAAAAAATACGAAGGCCAGCCCAAGGGATACTGATTCAATTGGTTTTGGCTATGGCCTACACATATGGATAGTAAAAACTCCCCAGGTGGTTCTAATAAGCAGCCTAATTTGAGAACAACAGGCTAGATGTTCCAAAGATCAAGAGATGTGTGTTGGCAATAAGGCACAGTTTTTAGTAGAAGGAAGCTTTAAGGGTGGCATTATTGTTATTATATTATTATTATGGAGACATAGTTCATATATCACATAATTCTTTTTTTTAAAGCATACAGTTAGGTGGGTTTTAGTATGATCCCAAGGTTGTGCCACCTTCCCCACCATCTGTTTGGGATGATCTTGTAGGATGTGCAGTTCTGATGGGTTGGAAGGCAAAGGAGAATAA